TGAGTTTGTTGCCCATGTGTCTGTTATGATCAAATTCCCAAGTTTCTGTTTGATACGGACGACTATTTATGCTTACTAAGTAGTTAGCTAACTTCTTAGCGAACTACCTAGCGGCACAGCTAACTAGTTAGCTAATCGGCTAGCTAAATACTTGCCTAGCCACTTAGCCAACCACTTGTGAAGTGTTAGTAAACTCTAGTTTATGAACATAAGCTCTAACAAACATTATAACCGCGAGCGATCTTTAAAGCACCCTGTCGGAAGGCCGCCGGGCCGCCGCACGGGCCAGCAGTTCGTCGCGCCCACGTGCTCCGTGCACGGAGGTGCGTGCGAGCCAGAAGCATGCGTGGCGCGAGGAGGAACAACTTCCACGCGCGCGACGCAGGGGCTTCGCCAAGGGCGAGCTGCTGCAGGGCCGTGGTCAACGCTGACCGCACTGCGGCTCGCATGAAGGGCGGCACGTAACGTCGGCGCCGGGCATCGGAGCTCTTCGGCCAAATCCACCGTGTCCAAAGCCAGCCATGCCGCATCGGGGACTCTTGCTGGCGTCGCGTTTGCACCGGCGTCGTGGTCTCCGGAGGCTGGCGGGCATGGACACCTTCGTCGGTTGGCACCGCGCGTGCTGCGGAGCGGCGGCGAGCGCCGCGACGGCGTCGCCGGGTGGCGGGCGTGGCGGGCGGTTGGTGCTCGTGCCGGGCATCGTTCGCCAGACTCTGCGCAGCCGCGGCCGCAGACGCACCCGCGTAGGACTCGAGGAATATCGAGGAATGCTGCTTGCGCTGCCGCTGTGAGGTAGCTATCGGGGGCCATGCAGAGCATCAGTGCGCGGAGAAGGCTGCCGCCGATGCTCGATCCGCCGCGGAGATGTCCCGGTTTGCGTCATGGGCTTCGCACTCGGCGACCGCGAGCAAGGACTGGGCGAGCGCAGAGGGCACGACAGGCGGCGCATCGCGCAGCAAGGACGCGAGTTCCCAGAAACGAATGCCGAGCCCAGGATGCGAGCGCCAGTCTTGTTGGGCGCACGCGGTCAAGTTGCCCGGTATGTAGAGCCAGGAGTTGCGCGGGCATGGCGCTCGGCGGGCGGGCATCGTGCCAGGGCAGGGGCTCCACGTCTGCGGGGGCGGGGTTCAAGCGTGGCAGCTGGTCCGGCGAGGGTGGTGCTGTGAAGCCTGGCGTCGCTTCATTGGGCGTCGCTGGGGCCACGTGCTGAGGGGCATCTCCCCGAAAAACGCGAAAGGGGTTGTGGCGCTGAGCGTGTCCGAGAGGGTTTCGGCAGCATCCGTGTCCGCTTGGTGGTCGCGCAGCGCGGCCGGGCGGGTGCCGGGTAGCAACAACTGCATCTGCGCATATCTGCGCAAGTGCGTGTAGCGCAGGTTGTCGAGGCAGCTCTGGGTCGCCTTGGCCCAGGGGCGGCCTCCCCAACTCGCCTGCCACGGTGAGGGTGCGGCGTCCACTCGCCGATGTCGCTATCGCACGCAGCGGCTGATTGCCGCCTAACCCCTGCGCAAGCTGCATGCGCATGCGCTAGTGACGCCCGCTGCGTCGGCGAGCAGGCGCACTCGCAGGGCGAGGGGCTGCAGCATGGGCGACCGTACTGTCCGTGAGGAGATGAGCCATCAGCGCTGAAGGTGTGCGGTTCGTCGCTTGCGACAACTCGCGCACCGCGGCCTCGCCTCCTTGCAGTAAGTAGTGTAACACCTCGTGCGCACGTTCCGGTGTCCTGCGCCCACTGCCTTAGACAGACAACATACGGTGGAGCTTTCGACAAAGGCCACGCGCCCTTTCCACTTTGCGCTGCAGTCCTCGAACCGCCCTGAATAGTCGGGAAGAGATGCTGCGCACAACTGTTGAGTTTCGCCTCGACTGTACGGTTGTCTCATGTATTCCCCCTCGGCTGGCGGAGCGAGTGCAATACCAGCAGCACGCACCGTCCTTTGGCAGGCAGTGACACGCTGTTCTTGCTACACAAATCCTTTTCAGGCTGGCCCAAATTTCTGCGGGCGACAGTCTTTTTCTTCGTTCTTTGGCCCACGAGAATGGGTCTGCAGCGCTGTTCTGGGATGTTCATACAGCGCGAACCCCATCTCAGAACAGTGACAGAGAAAGAGACCCCGACAAGCGATTGTTCTCCTCGAAATGGATTGTGGCCCAAACCAGTCAGCTGTACGATCTGCAAGGCACCAGCGTGCATTCTGTTTCCGAGTAGCACCAACGAGTCAGCTTGGCATTTTGCCAACAGCGCTCTTCTAGGCAAGACTCTTTGTTCTGAGTTCTTTCGATCGATGTTAATTGGAATGGTGCCAGAAATTAGTAAGCTACGGCACTCATACTTTAAAGTTCTTTTGATTTGCAACCCATACATGCCTAAGATGCCTGCGGTGCCGGCTTTGAGTCAGCTCTTCCGCCTGCGAAGCCAGGCATAGGACCTGAGCGACAAACGTCCGATGGACTCAAACAATCCTCAAGTGCTGAGAGGCAGTGGCCCGATCCCAATCAGAACGACGAAGCCAAGTCCAGGCAATAAGTTAAGAAATACCTGGAGCGAAACACGTGCGTGAGGAAGCGATCGTCTGAGTTTAAGCAGAGCATAGCAGAGCCTGGCGCTTTCTCTCGGCCACGGCTGCGGACTCGGAAATCCCCAGCCGACCACGCCAAAGGTGTGAACGCACGGCACGGCCTGAGAACTCGATCTTGTCGTCACCCCACTTGAGAGTTCTGGAGCAACTGGAAGTTGAACGTGCGGAGGTAAAATTAGTTTCAACGCTTCTCTTGTCTTTTCCGTGCCTGAATCAATACATCATGCACTCCGTTGTTCATTCCTTTGTGCATCCGCCAACTCCGGTGCGGCGCCCAGAAGTTGTGGTTCACCGTTCCGGTTCAACCCCTCGAGGCAGCCGGAACCCCTTCCTCCCTCCCCTCTCCAGACCCACCGGCGCCCCCTTCCTCCCGTCCTTCCATGTTCCCAGCCCAGGGCAGGCCCCAGATGGCCCCAGGGTTCCGGGCTGCTGCCTGCACTGCCCGCCCGTGGGCGCAGCCCCTAGAATATGTGGCTTGTCTCTTTAAACTTGTGTCCCCACCGGATCCTGGTTCGACCATGGCTGCATTTAATGTGCAGACATGTATCGGTATTCTCAATACTTTCGTTATCTCGAGATTCTCGAGTACAGGTAGTTGAGTAGCTGCGAATAAGGCATTCAGGGACTATGGGGAGGAGGAGAAAATCGAAATGATGATAATAAACAACGTCGTCACACAGACACCCATGTAGCCCACAAGACATGCTTTCCCGAGAAGATGCATAGTAAGTCCAAGCCATGCATGCTTCTCAATCTGTCAGGTTGCAAGTTGTGGTTTTGCACATGAGTTTGTGCCTACACTGCCTACACACTGAACATGCTTGTCACCGTCGTCACGCCTTTACGCATCATTGCTTTTGCAGCAGTAAGAACCGCTCGAATACTTGCAGCAAGATCCGAAGCATACTCACTAGTCGACACCGATCCAAGACAGCGAGAAACAACAGCGCGTTGCAACGGCCTCACAACGGGCAGAAAACGTACACAACTTACCATGGCATTATGTCCTGGTGCTACAAGGTGTCACACGCGTTGATGATAATAAACATCTCAGTCAAAAACTGCAGCAGCCGTCAACCTTTAGAGGCAATGCAGCACTTGTAAACACATAACCAACCAGCCCTAGTATCCTAAAGCCATGTTCTGTCCCAGCTCCCAAGTATCGAATTCAAGCAGAGCACAGCACCCCCGAGGCCCCGAGGCTGAACTTTCGGCTTTCAAGATCCCACACGTAGGGACAGCAGAGCACATGGCTCCAGAGCCCTCAAGCTCGTTGCTGCAAATTTCTGTCCCCAAGGTGCTCTCTACATTTCCACGCACATGTCTCACACAATATACTAAGGTGTTGCTGGACTGTCTCGGACAAAGGACGCTCATGCAAGAGGTTGAAACATCATCTTCTGGATCTCTGGGTACCCTGGTTGTTTGTTTAGAGACAGCTGGGGAAAAACAAGCAGTTCTGCTGTCCCAAAACGTGCGAAGAGATGGGGCAGCTCCCATCAGCTCCGTGAATGGCAGCATCTGAAGACGCTGCGCACGTTATTGTTACTTGTTCGCAAGAGATCGCGGCAACAAGACTAGATCTGTCACCTCATATGATGTGGCAAGCAGGACATTTTTCTCAGTCTCAGGGGCCTTGCTTGCTCCAGGCAGAGGGGCTCTTTTGAACTCTGTTGTCCTCATCTCTCACATGAAAGCCCTCCAAAAGTTTACCCTCGCAGAAGGAGCTCCTGAACTTCTGGAACCAACATGTGCACTGCCCACCTGTCAATATGGTCTGCAAGTTGTCAGGGGTTGCATACCCATACCTGGCCCGCAGGACCAACAACATACGCAACACGATGCAAGTGGTGCAAGCGTCAACCATGCAACATCTGCAACGACCAACAAAACGAAGTCTGCCGGGTTGCCAATGCCCATCGTCTTTGCTGGCCTGCCGATATGCGCTGACCGCATCATGCATTAAACGGTGGCTGCAGTACAGAAGAGCAATCTGCAACAAACAACCTCGCAGGAAAAGCCGGGCTAAATTACTCATTCAATTTTAACTGACTTGAGCCATGCTCGGCCAAGCTGCCTTTCCAGAATAGATGATGATGTTGCCAGCATACTTGTGGCCGCCGACGTGTGAACATTTTCGGACTTGCATGGCGGGCGCTGCGCCAGTCCTTTGCAAAACGGAAGTTCCGGAGCATGTCCATGCCACGGTCGGAGCAACACATGCACCAACCGCGTCCATGCCAAGGTTCTTCACCAATCGCGTTGCCGATTCCACCAGTCTCGGCCCGCAATGCCCGCACCGCTCATCACGCTTGGTGTGAGCACAAACGAAGGCGAAGGCGTCTTCCTCGACAACAGTGACAAGAACATGAGCAGTTGGCCGGCTTGAAACGCACATGTAACCAGTGCACCTGTCGATGCAAGTCCAAGGATGTATGGCTGCACGAGATTGGGGTTCGGGCTTCACAGGGTCCTCTATGGCATACCGCATGCCTACACTACACCCTGAATCATAAGTGTCTGCTTGGTCGGGTCACCGATTTGACACGGAAGTGCGTCAGGCCGGCACACAGTTCGGGGTTTGCCAAACGGCTTGCTTTCGGAATAGTAAGGCTTTCCAAAGCTTGGGTCCGGATCCAGCAGGTAACAAACAAATGAAAGTGAGTATAGAGCTGGACCAAGCTTAGCTTATACCCTGGTCCGTGATTCGACGACCGAACAGAGGGGCATCGAAACCTGGGCTCATTGTGCTGACGGACCATCAGGCAGTGCTTCATGCAGTCACGACGGCACGAACCCGAAACTAGATATCGGCATGCCGCAAGCCCTTGTTTTCAGTGTGTAACCAGGATGCACAAATCCGAACAGACTTGGCAAGACTTCGCACGACTGAAAAGCACACACAGACACACATCAAATCCGCCGAGGCCACCGGCCCAGGCGTCTTGGGGGTTACCTCAAGTACCCTCCACCTAATCCTCCTCCCTACAGCGGAAATGGTTGGACCCACCCTGTTTTTGCCTTCGTTTTCCACCC